GTATAATTGCTGTTATGACCTAAAAAATTTAAATTTATTAAGAAAACACTAAAAAAGATTTAAAAAATGATATAATCAAATAATACCGTGAAATTTATAATTTTTTGGGACCAATAAGACCAAAATAAATAACCTGTTTTCCACTCCACAATTTTTGAGGTTTAATAATTGTCGGAGGCGGAATTGACAAATATTCCGTATATTGAGAAAATGCAGAAAGAATAAGATGCATAAAATCTTCTTTATTAAAGAATTGTCCTCTAAGAGTCATCAAGACACCAGAGACAACATGATCTTGAATAAGTCCAAGGATTGGGGTGCCATCTTTTGGTACCAAAAAGTTACTCCCAACACCGGCTAAACTTCAATGAAAGTTAAAAAATATAGGATAAAAATCAAACCTAATTCAGCAATTTCACTTTGAGCTACACGATTTTGGACAAAATGCCCATTCATTTCGTCGCCGTCGAAGTCAGCGTTATAAGCTTTGCAAGGGGCATAATTCATTCTTAATGCTTTTTGTGAATGTAAGACACGTACTCGATGACCCATTATTGAAGGTTTGTGCAAAGTTGGCTGTCGATTCATTAACATTCTATCGCCGTTCTGAAGGCTCCGTAATACCTGAAAAAAGAAGTTTAAATGAAATCAGTAGGTAAATTAGAAAATTGTCACTATAATTAAAATCCAATCCCAAAGACATAAAAAGATCCAAATTGTAATTTTGGATCTTTGAGTAATAAAATATGGTAAAAGAAGCTGAAAGAGTTTACATGTTTGAATTTCTGGCAACGAAACTAAGCAGAAACTTGTTAGTCACACTTAAGAACAATCCAGAAAGTTATGCCAGCCTCTAATTCCAAACTATTAATTTAATTAAAACAAGAAAACTAACGACGTCAGGCATCGAATGGACACTATGAGTATTTCCAGCATGAAGTCGAGAAGAATAAAAGCCTCGATCTCTATCAAAAGTTGGACCAGATTTTAACATTAATCTCATTGGTGGCTTTCCAAGCTTTCCAGAGACCTAACATTTAAAATTTCAAAAATTAGGTAAAAAACTCTAAAAACCTCAATAAAACTTGCTCCCGGATGTTTATCAGGACCTCTTTTAACCAATTCCTTCATTGCATAAATATTTCTATCATTCAAAGCCTCTGGAAATGTTAACTTTCTTGCAAATAATTCAGGTATCCCAATTTCGTCAATATCCAAATAAGGGTCTGGAGTAATAACTGAACGACAGGCATAATTTACACGTTTACCCATCATATGCATTCGAAAAAGTCCCTCAAAAATTGTTTTAAAATTCAATAAAATTATTTTAGCAATACCTCTTTCTTTTCCAATGTTTGCCTTAAACCAACTTGTCCAGCAGATGTGTCCAATCTATTAGCATCTTTGTCATACAATACATTTGCACGCATTTGTAATTCTAAATAGGCATTATGGAGTTTTTCATTCATTGTTTTGCCTGGTACGCGACTTTCAATCATTTCCTTAAATTCTTGTTAGGTGAAAAATAATCAAATTTCTTATTTAAATGGTGGAAACCAAAAAGCTTCTTTACTAGTGAAAACTAACCCCAATTTCAAGAAAAATTCGATTAAGAAAAGAATACATAGGATAAATTTATTTAAATTAAAAACCTTTGCAGCAATTCCACTATCTTTACCATCAGTTTTTATATACATTTTGATGAGTAAAATAAGTTGACTAGCTTCCAAAAGTTTTCTTAAATTAGAAGTAACAGAATGCTCAAATTTTTCAGAATTAAGATAACGAATTGGGCGAAAACGAGAAGGCTCAACTAGTACCTTTTAAATATAATTTTGTGAAAGAAATTTCTATAAATAAATACCGTTTCAATAAAAAGTGAGTCAATAGAAGGCAAATTTCCAAAACAAAATTCCTTAAAAAATAAAAAATTTAAAATAAAATATGTATACAAAAAAACCTCGTCTTTTTCATTAAATAAAGGAAATAAATGTTTTAATAAAAATCCTTCTCTCTGCCAAACTAAACGAAAATGTTCTCGAACTTCTGATGCTCTCCAAGCTAATTTATCACATTTTCCAATAATTATTTGTTGTAATTGAGCATCTAATAATTGATCACAAAGTGAGGATGTTGTAAACGAAATATCAGAAACTTTAGATTTTGGAGTTGTTAAACCAAACTTTAAAGAGCAAAAATAAAATGAAAGTTTTACAAAATTTAAGAGGAAAATTGAAAAGAATTAAAAATCTCAAAGATTTCTGGTTATCCTAAAATGCCCATTTTATAATAATAGTCACTTACAAACAAAACTCAGGAGTAAAAAATATTCTCAAAATCTTCAACATTCAAAAATTAACCTTTTTATCAAAATCTGTATCAAATTCTATCCCTCCCCCAATACCCAAATCAGGTCTTAAATCTTCAATCGAAACTTGGGGTAATTGTGCATGTGCTTTAGTTGGCGAACTATGAAAATTAAAAAAAGGCTGATAAAATTTAATAATTTTTAAAAAACTTTTTGTTTTCTATTTTTGGAAGAGAACGTCCAGCTTTCACTAAAAATTTATAAAAAAAATTTAGTAAAAATAAAACAAAAAAACCTGCATTTGTTTGTTTAGTAAAATCCAACAAAAAGGCTCTCTTAAAATCATTACGTAAATACCCATTAGGTCTTTTACATATTGGACAGCGAGTTTTTCTTTTTAACTTAAAATTAATTAGTTCTTAAAATTTTAAATAAATCTACCAATTCTTTTAAAAATGTTTTTATCAAAATTTCTTTTTCATTTAAATCATTTCTCAAAATATTTTGATTAAAATAATTTTTTGAATTCAAAAAATCGGCAGAATCTATATTTGCTAATTTTGCAATGATCGAATCAATTTCTCTAAGAAATGCTTGTTCTCCCAATAATTCAATTTTTTCACCTAAAAATATTTAAAATTTAAATGTAAAATAAGTTATTGAATGTCAATAAAGAAATGTTGGGGCGTCTATATGTTAACGTCTATGTTTCTTAACTGGGGAAAAATCCCAGGCTTATCCAAAGTCCCTAATTGTCAAACATAAAAAATGAAAAAAATCCTGTACATAAACTTAATAGTAAAAATGGAAGACCTTAATAAAGACTGTATAGGATAATTTGGAATGGGTAAGGTGATTAAATTTAATAAAAACCTATAGCTTCTCCATTTGCAATTCTATTCTTTATTTCACCACTAATGCTTTCAAGTATTTCAGAAAAGCCAAAATCTATTGCTCTGAGTTTTGCAATTAAAATTTTTGTAGGTATAGAATTTGTGTCAATTGTAAATCGATGGCAATGAATACATGTAGCTTTCATTATCTATTAAAAGAAAAATAAAGTTTTTATAAATTTTAAAGAAAAACATTATTTATAAAGCTAAATAAAAGTGGATTGAAGACAGGCAATGCAAGTTCAATATGTCCATAATGCCCAGGGCAATGATTGTCAGACAATCTACAAGTATCACAAACGCCCTCAGAAGGTCCCAGACGAAGATCATAAAGGCCTCCACGCGTAGGAAATCCTACCTTAAAAATTAAGTCTTTTAATTTTCTAAAATTTTAAAAAACAAAAACCTCATCAAAAGTATCAGCTTTAGTTATTTCCATTACACTAATTTTCCTAACTTCTTCTGATGTATATATTTTCATTTCCATTGCATCAAATTGCATAAAAGACCGGTTTTGTTTTACTGAGAGATCAGCAGATGAAGCCATTTGTAATAAAATAATATAAAACTAATAAATAAAAACTAAATTAATAAAAAAAAAAGCTAGTAATAGTAAAAAAGCTAAAAATAGAAAAAATAATCAACGTTTTTGCAACAAAAATTAAAACAAAATTTATTAAAATTTAATAATTTTCAAGTCAAATATTTAATAAAATGCAAGTGAAAACAAATTTCGTGTAAATAAAGTCCCCAAAAAGGCACGATTATGGAAAGATATGTAAATGGCATTTTGGCGGAATGGTACTACTACTACCTAGCAGAGAACGGGAAAATTATTTTAAAAATAAATTATTTACTAAAATAACAATTTTCACTTGCCGAATTTCTTGTTTCTATAACGGCATGTATGTATAATGTGTTTGTCATTTTTACCCCAAAATTATCAACGCCAACATTTTTCGTGTTAACGGTTAACCACCAAGGCCTAATTACCCTTTCTACACCAATTATTATGCCTTGGTGGTTAACCGTTAACACAAAAAATGTTGGCGTTGATAATTTTGGGGTAAAAATGACAAACTTGTAGATTCTAGATTTGATTTTAAAAGAAATTCATTTCTGCGGTTTTTATTCTATTTATCCAACTAAATTTTGTTAATTAGATTTAAATTAATTTTTTTTCTAAATTACCATTAGTCATGAAATTATGTTTAGAAGGAGGTCGTTGTATTATTTACAAAGATACGTGTGTTTGGGGTCTATGCTACATGCATGACAAAAACATTATACATACATGCCGATATATACCTATGTTAGGCAAGTTAAAAATCATTTGTCTGTTATCTCACTCAATATCAAAGACATGTATGGAGCGGGGACGGCAGTAGTAGTACCGGTGAAGTCTTGTAAAGTGAAATATAATCGTCAAAGGCGATCCCAACTATAATTTTAAGGAAATAACTAAAAAATTTGTTTGGTACTTCATGTTATCTCCAGCAGGTTTTAACTAACTAGATAGTATTATAAAAATTGAAAAATTCTGATGCCTACTTAATCCACCTTGCTCCATCAATTATCCCATTGATCCCTCCATATCTCCCCTACTACCTCCATATCTCCAAACTCTTAATATCCCTAATATACATCCAAATAATCCCTCCAAGAACTATCATTTTCAAAAGCTAGTTTTTTATAATACCAATGTACTATCTAGTTAAAAACCATGGGAAAAACAGTGAGTACCACTTTTACATAATTTAAGTTATAGGAATAAAAGTAGTAGAAATTTTTAGGACCTTTGACAATTTTTAAGAGGCATTGCAAAGAGAATATTATTACTAAAATTTTAAATATGGGATTTTACTTTTCATTGTTTGTTAAAATCAAAAGGTCACTTTTTATTGCTTCATTTTTAAGGCACATACGTATTTAAGTGCAGTCATCTTAATTATTTTCCTTTTATACCGGATCGTTGTCATTCTCAAGATTTTGATATTGTCCTCCTCCTTGCCTTCGACGAGGAATACGTCTATCACGAAAAGTTTGAGCAGAATTTAAGTCAATGTGCTGAAAATTGAAAATAACTTTTAGGAAAATTTCTAAAATTTTTAATTTACAGCTTCTGAGATTCTAAAAATTAGAACCGATTTCCGGAGAATGGACGATTTATTTCAGTATGATCGATTTAGTCTCAAGGCCATATTTAGAGGGGTAACTTTGTGATTTTTAATCGATTTAAACAACTAGTATCAGAACAATCGGAGCTTTTGATATAGGGATTATTTTATCTGAAAGGATTAGTTTGATCAAATCATACTACAATAAGTTATATATGGAAAACTGCCAAAAAACATGATTTTTGATAACTTTTTCTGCTCAACTCAATCCTACTAGATAAAATAAGCATATAAAAAACCAAAAAAAAACGACCATAGCGGTTGCGCTAAAACGACCATAGCGCAACCGCGCTGATTTTTAGTATAAAATTATCTACTCATATGCTTAAAAATGTTCAACTTTTACCTCTGCGCCACCCTTCTTATAAAGATTCACTTCATCAATTAAATCAGCCTTCTTTCTTTGCTCTTCAACCAAATTTTGATGTAAATCTTGAATAATTTCTTCAAGCTGTGCAATTTTCTGAAGATATTTTTTTCGTTCCTGTTCCATTTGAAATTCAACAAGATCACGAACACGTTTCTCATCCACATGTTTTTTCTTCTTTTTAGAATTTGCACGTCCAGCAGAATCATCATTAATGCCTTTCTGTCGACCCAAATAAGCTAACTTTTCAATAACCTTAAAAGAAATAATTCATAGAATGTCATAAAGAAAACACAAACTTGTTCTTTAAGTTTAATTTCGCGTTGACAGCGATGAATAAGTTGATCTCTAGATAGCATTTCCAATTCGCCAGAGGATGAGAGAATAGAATTATTATTATTGTGTAATTGAACTGAAGCAAAAGAATTTGTCGCAGAAACAAGTGAAGAAGTAGAAACAGCACTAGATAAAGTATTTGTTCCGCCAAAAACTGGAGCTAATCCCATAGGTCCATGTGAATGTTTACGTATTTGGTTAATTTCCTCTTGAAGTTGTTTATTTTGGCTAATTAATTCATTTTCTTTTTTGGATGCCTAAAAATTAATTTTTTTAATTTGAAAAAAAAATATAAAAATAACCAAATTAAGATTAGTTGTCAACGATTTATATTCTTGTTCATGCCTTTGCATTGCTGCACGCAATTCAGTCTCCAAAAAGGACTTATCTTTTTGCAGGTCAACAAAACTATTTTGCAAATGTTGATGCGAAACACGTTCCCGTTCCAATGTAAGTACAAATTCTTCAATTTGTTGTCTAAATTAAAATTTAAAATCAGAAAATTTTTTAAATTTAAAATATTAAAGGTGCCAAAAATCCAATTCTTTTAATATAAGCAATTACTCCATTCCTCAATTTTTTCGAATTGGGGGGACTCATGGACATATTTTTCTGTCTTACTAAATTTGGATACTTTATAGAAGAAAACCCAATTTTAAATATAAATTTATTTACCCCATATTTTGAAATTTTTTCTCCTTTTCTTCATTATCCTTTGCCCGTGCCTCAATTTCAACTTTGAAAAGTCCAGATAATTTTTGCTCAGCTTCAAGTCTTTGTTGACAATCTGAGAAAAGTCGTCTTTGTCCCTCCAGCTGCTCCTGAAGGTCTTCAATTTTATTTTCGAGAACTCGTCTTTGATATTTCAATTCTCCAACCTGATAAAAAAAGAAATTAATTTAGAAAGAAATAAACATATAAGGGAATTTTGTATTCTACTAACATAAATAACGATAAAAGGTCGTCGGTGTAAATGTTCGAGCTTACATGATTTCCCAAATAATATTTACCGTATGTTAGTGTAACTTGAAATATATCCAATTACAAAAAACCCCAACCTCATGAGAAAGTCGTGGTGGTGGAACAGCAGGTGCTGCAGTTGCATTGTTGTTATTATTCAAATGATGGTTGTTTATTTGCTGCTGTTGCTCAAGTTGTTCCTTACATTTTTGAAGATGAAGCTCCAACATTTTATTTGTCTCTCGCAACTGTTCTGCCTAAAATTAAAAAAATTAAAAAACAGACAGACAAAAAAATAAATTGCAAAAAAATATCATTTTACAAAAAATGTTCTAATATTTACCTCTTGTTGAGTTGGTGTCAACTTTCCAACCTCTATTTCAAGCTCTTTTATTCGACCTGACAAATTCTCCTTCTCTTGTTTTAGAGAATCAACCTAAAAAAGAACAATTTTAACAAAATTATAATTTAAAATAATTATTTTTCTAAAATACTTCTGACTCGATCATTTCTTGATTTTGCTTCATTTCTGCGCATTTCATTTCCAAAATTTCTCTTTCCTTTGCCAACAAATCAATCTAAAATTTAAATTTGTACAAATATTACTTTAAATAACTAAACCTCAGCCTTTGCAGAATTTGTCTCTATTTCTAATTGTTCTTTAATATTTTTTAATTGTTGCTGGAGAAGTTCATTTTCGTTGGTTAACTCGTCAACCTTCTAAAATAAAAATTAACCATTTTTTAAAGAATTAACTCATTAGAAAATCCTATCAAAAGTCAAATGTAAATACAAAAAATTTAATTAAAATTTTTTACAGAAAATTTTACCTCTTCTAAATGACCATTATTTTCACCTCCACAAGTCCCATTAACTGCAGGAGTGTCTAACAAATTATTATTTCCATTTACAATTGGCTGAAGTACGGCTTCTTCAAGTTGTTTTTTAATTAAATCCAATGGACTTAAAATATTTATTTATCACTAATTTTTATAAAAAATACCCAAATTCGTTGGAGAAAGTAAATCCAATAAAAGGTAATTGATTGCCGGTAAAAGCCTTTGGAATTTGAAAACTTTCACAATCAACAGGATCCGCAGGTTCAACATCGTCAAAATGGGAAGTATCATCATCACCAAGAAGATCGGGAACATATGGAGGTGTTGCTGAAATTAAAAATTACATCATAAAAAATAAGAAAAGGATGTATGTAAGCCGAAAAAAATACAAAGTAAAAATGAGATATTATTGAGTCCAAAATTAAAAAATTACATTTTTGAATTGAGTCAAAAGTCCAAACAGAATTTTTAAAGAATGCATGTCCTCGTATCGCAGAAATTCCATCACGTCCAAGTCGAATGTTAGGTTCAGAAAGAAAACTTCGAATAATATCTTTAGCACTGCTAGTCACTTTAACATCTCCAGGAAATTTTAATTGTTTGTTGTGATCCATAATTTTTGAATAAGTTTGGACTAAACTTTCAGCATAAAAAGGAGTTTCTCCAAAAAGCATTTCATAAAGAAATACTCCAACAGCCCACCAATCGACTTCCCGTCCATAAACACCCTCTCCTCCTTGTGAACGGAGAACTTCAGGGCTAATATAGTCTGGAGTGCCAACAGCCATTGAACAACGGACAAGTCCATCCTATTAAATATTTTTTTAAAAATTTCAAAAAATGTTCACCTTATTCATCCTAATACAAGTTCCAAAATCTGCAAGTTTAATATGTCCATCAGCAGAAATAAGCATATTATCTAAAAATTAAATTTTTAAAAATTCAAAAAAAGTAAAAACCTGGTTTGACATCTCTATGAATATATCCAAGTGAATGAATTGCATCCAATGCCAAAACTAATTCTGCTGTGTAAAATTGTGCCCAATCTTCAGGAATGTCGTGGTTGGCCATTAAATTTACCATGTCTCCACCGGGCATAAATTCCATAACCATGTACTGAAAAATTAAAAATTCAAACTTTTGGACAATATATACAAAGATGTTCAAACAAAGAAATGAATACTACCCACTTCCGAACTTTGGTTTTAGAAAAATTTATATTAAAAAATAACCAAATTTCTCAAATCTTGGAATGCATAATGTAATTTAACAATCCATTCAGAGTTTGAATAAGCCATTATATTACGCTCTTCCCAGAAAAATGCAGCATCAGAACGTCTTATCTAAGAAAAATATTATAAAAAATAATTTTCCAAAAAAACCATTTTGTCTTTGTCGAGCATTTTCATTGCATAAACTTGGTTATTTTGAATATTTCGAACAAGTTGAACTTCCCCAAATGCACCTCTCCCAATTACTTTAATAATACGAAAATTAATATTGCTGATTCGGCAATCAATTAAAGATTTTACAAGGTGCTCATCTAAAAATAAAGTTTTGATTTAATTTTAAATTAAAAATAAATAAAAATTTTTCCCAAACACATTTGGAAAAAAATGGAAATTTGCAACTCTTATTCAGAATGGAAATAAGTCGCTAAAAATATACCAAAATTAAAGAGTTAAATTTTTGTTAGAATTTTTAGAAAAAAATCCAAAAAAAGAAAAGAATTGTGAAGGATATAAATAAAAAAATAAAAATTCTTACTTCTGTCCAAAAATGTTTCAATTGTTTTTTGCGTTCTTTTTAAGACGGGGTAATTGCAATCATAAAACAAAGCTATTACACAATCCTAAATATATTTTTAAATTATTTTAGGCTTTTCTGAAAATTTAAATAATTCTCGATTAAAGATAAATTTCTCACAAAATTCACCACCTCGTCAACCAAATTAATTTTTACAAAAATTAACAAAATAAAAACCCACCAACAATCCATCCAAGTTGAGAACACATTTTGGATCAAGTAATTGTGTAGTTAATCGTTGTACTAATTCTGAGTTCATCAATATTGACATTTATTTTTTTCTAAAAAATTAAAAAAATTAAATTTTGTTTTTAGCTAATATTTTTTTAGCTTTTTTTTGGTTTGTCATTTAATGCCTAAAAAAGCCTTCTCACAAATGATGAATAACCAAAAAAGGATAGCGGGAAAAGGTGAATAAAAAAAAAGATTTTTTTGGGTTTCAGGATGAAAAAAATAAAAAAAGAATTGAAAGAATTACAACAAAAAAATGTAAAAAGGAAGAGAAGAAAGATCAGAAGAAGCAAAACAAATCGATAATGACTAGCGGCAGGGAACCGGTGCAAGGATAAGCGGACGAACCGGAGAAGGACAAAAGAAGTAGAGAGAAGAATGTGACTGTAAGGAGAAAAATTTGTTTGTTGTTGTAAAATGAGGAAGGAAGGAATGTGCTGCTACGTTTTGTTATGGGGAGAAGAAAATGGGTGAACTGTTAAATATGAATGTGCGCGTTAATAAATGTTTAAACGGATGAATAGGATCAGACAGAAATTAATAGATCAATGGAAATGTAATAAAGGGATTTTAATATTTAAAGATTTTGAGAATTTTAAGGTCTGAAATTTCGAATTTCTAGACATATGTACATAAAAAATAAAAGAGATTCTGATCGAAAAAAAGACTAAAAAATTTTTTTTTGATTTTTGAACAATTTTTACGGGTAGGGGACGATTCAGTATCGCCGATTCAGTATCGCCAATTCAGTATCGCCGATTCAGTATTGGCCGATTCAGTATTTGGGCTTTTTGGCCATAACTTTTTGCTCGATCAATATTTTAGAAATTTTTATATATGATTTGATAGGTCTCGGGGTGCTGCATCTTTTTCATAATTGGACTGACCTGATCTGATCACTCTACAAAAAGTTATCACTGATAAACGACGTCACAGGCATAAAAAATCGGTTTTCACGCTGTAACTTTATTTGTGATCATCAGATCAGATCGGGCCAATTATGAAAAAGATGTGGAATCACGAGACCTTTCGAATGATATGAGAATTATTCGAATCAGTCGAATATAGGGAAAGTTATGGCCATATACTGAATCGGCGGATACTGAATCGGCGATACTGAATCGTCCTTAACCGATTTTTACAGATTTTTTATGGCATTATGATTTATGACACTTCTTTGTTGGCGTTTTGTTCCACTTCGTTTTATGGGTGTTTTATTCGTTTCTCCCTAATGAGTGTTTTGACTTTGGAGCTTTTTGTTGCTCCCATTATATTGAGTGTTTTGATAATTTTTTCCTTATGGACATTTTTATATTTTACTTTGATGACGTCACTTTTGCTTTTACAAATGCCAAAATACACATTTAATTAATAATTTTTTTCTTAATTTCGTCAAATATTTTAAAATAAAATTTTTGAAATATGTAATTTATTTTTAAAGAACAAAAAATGTCTTCAAATTATTCTTCTCCAATTATTTCAACAAAAAATCAAAACACAGAAAACCAATCAAAGCCAACTTTATTTTCACCTTTAGACTCCGTCGCTACGCAACAGAAACAGCAACAACAGCAAATTTCACCTAGTTTTTCATCAGAAAGTGAAAATATTAACAAGCCTTCTCAAATTAAAACTTCCCCAAGTAATTTTGAACAAAAACAAAAAAATTTCTTTAGGTTTTTTTAATTTTAAATTAATTTTTTTTAAATATTTAAAGTTGTTCGATAGCAGCACCTTCATCTCCGCCAATTTTAAAGTCTACAAAAGCAGTATCTCCTATTGAATCTCATCAACAAAAACCTCTTGTTGCTAGTAACAGAAAGACTTGTCAGTCATTTACTACACAAAAACAGGTTGGAAATTGTAAATTTCGAAATTTCTTTTCCGTTTTTAAAGAGGGAATTTGCTTAAAATTTATATTTTCTGTTTTTAAAATAAAATTATTTTTAAGAGCTCCGCATCATCTGAAATGTTTCTTGCTGCCGATCCAATTCTTATGGACCTGCAAAAGGCTAAAACTAACAATAAGCGTAAACGTGAAGATGGAGTTCAACCTCCCACTAATATTAAAAGAGATAAGAAGCAAAACTCGGAAACTACTGCAGGTACTAGATTTTGTATATAAGTTATCGAGGGCGTATCCAGGAGGCTGGGGAGGAGGGAGCTTTTTAGCCTTTTACTCTTCTCTCTCAGATTTTTTAAATTTTTAGAAGAACCAGAAGCACGTTGCACCGTAAACAAAACCTCATTTTCTTCTCTCGGTCGCATTCCAAAGATTGAAAAATCTGAACCGCCACCAACAACAGCTCGTTCTGATCCAGTCAACATTTTACCTCTAACAATTAATACAAAAATTCAAAAAACTGAAGAGATAGAAAAGGCAGAGATTGTTGATAAACACTCGCCTCGTTTTAGCGAAGATACTGAAAATAATAAGTAATTTGTTTTTTGTTTTCTTAAAATCCTCGGAAATTTTAATTTTTATTTTTTTCCAGTAAATCTAAAAAGAACAACAATACATTATTAACTACTTCAACAATTAATGGAATTAATGAAAAAATTGTTCAACAACGGACAAAAAGAGATACTTCAAATATTCGACAGAAAAATCAGAGAAAAACATTTAAACTTCCCAAAATTTCTGAAAAGGTTTTTAAAATAATTTTATAGGTAAAAATAACTTTTTCAAGTTTCGGAAATATATAAATGTTGAGAGGCATGCTAATGGTGGGGCAAGTTTACTTCGCTGTGATTGGCGTAAATTGCAACATAATTTGTCTTCTCAGGAACGACAACAATTTGCTGAACAATTTATTTCGCTTGGATTTTTTGAAATTGAAAAGGTTTAATTTTAAATATTAATTTAATCTCCCATTTCCTTTTTAATGTTTTCTAATTTTCTTGTATTTTTCTAAGTATTCGCTATAATTTTGAGCCTTACTTTCAAAAAAATTATTTCAAATTTTAGGTACCTCTTTTTGTTATTTGCATCGTTGACAACGCAATGGAATATTTGGAAAATATTTTAGAATTCCTTGGTACGAAATATCCAAAATTGCCTGTCAAAATGGGTTCTCTTCACAATAAGCAAATGGTTGAAACCTTAAAAATGGGAGAATATTATGAAAGAGTAATGGCTACTTACTCTTATGGAACTTATCGTTGTGGACCGCTAAACAACATTACATTGGTTTGTTTATTTTCTTGTTAAAAACTTACTCTCTGACGTTTAATTAAAATTTGTTGAACTCTAAAATTAAAAATAAATTTTTTTAAGGTTGGCAGGAAGCAAGAAGAATGTGGAGAATATTTTGAAGTTTATTCATTTTAACTTAAATTTAAAATTTCTGCTTTAAAGCATATACTTGAGCGTTTAGAAGAATGCCCTTTTCTTCGTCTTCTTCTTCCTTGGAGTGAGAATTCTGTCAAATCTTTTTGGAAACCAAATGGTTTTTATTTTTTTAAATTAGTTTTTACTTTTTTAAAGATTCTGATGATGGTCCAATCTATTGGTGTCGTCCAGGAGAACAATTAATCCGGACAGATGATTTGTCCAAGGCAAATCAACAACAACAGCAGAGACGTGCTAGTACATCTTTGAAGTACCAACATCATAAAACAATGCCTTTAAAGTAAAAAATTTTTCTATTTGTGGAAATCTTTTAATAATTCGTATTTGAAAATACGTTAAATTCTGACTGTATAACCAAATGTTATTTTTTCTTTTGTATTTTAGAGCACTGGAGCGGCGTGAAACGCTTTTTGAAGATCGAACACCTTGTCATGTTGATTCTGTTGTTGAAGAAGATACAGGGGAAAGAAGTGAAACAGGTGCCGTTGGAATCTTACAATCGATTGATTGCCATAAATTGTCAAATGGTATTGATAATCGAGAAAAACAACAAAGAATTGTAAAAGAAGTTACTTGCTTTCACGGAGCAGATTTTGACAGATTGGTGGAAATTCTGCAAGTATGTTAATATTTTTATTATAAAAATTTGAGGAAATTTTTATTTTTTAGTTAGACATTTATGAGCCTCCAATGTCTCAATGTGTTCAATGGGTTGAGGAGGCAAAATTAAACTCTTTACGGAGAGAAGGAATTCGTTATGCAAAATTTTCGGTAAATAAAAATTTAAAAAAGTTTTAAAATAATTTTTAAAAATATTTTCAGTTGAGAGAGAATTGTGTTTACTTTTTGCCAAGAAAAATTATGTGAGTTTATTTTCTTTTGTAATTATAATAATTTTGTAATTTATATTTTAAGTCACCAATTCCGAACAATATCTGCTTGCGGTTCAATTGCTTGGCATATTCGTTTAAAGCAGTATTATGACAAAGACCAGGACAAGAAAGTTTCCCCAAATGTGTAGTTCGGAATGATTTTTGTTTGATCTTCAATTTTTAGATTTGGGAATAGGATAAGAATTTGGGATTTTACTAAATTTGGTCAAATTGCCCAAAATTCCTTTCCAATTTTTTAAACATTACACAACTATTCATTTCAAAATCATTTTACCCATTTGACATTCCAGAAATTCAAATCCCATAACTTTTTTGATTAGCACCTCATACGTAAAGGTCTTAATTAATGAATACAAAATAAATTCAATGCCTCAATTTCACTTTTTCGAAATCCAAGTAAAAAACTCGGCTTCGTATTCATTAATTTGTAGAACTATTTACGAGAACCTCACTTTCCTCTTATCTCAAAAATATTTTTTATAGGCTTTAATCGCTAGTCCTTTTTTCTTTTTCCAATTTGCCAATTTTTAGACACTTGTAAATTCTGATAATTTTTTAAAAAATATAGAAATTCGGGTGTATAATTTTGTGGCATATTTTTGATTTCCATGACATTTAATTAAGAATAGCCAGAAAATTAAAAATATATTTTAGAATTTTAAAATTACAATTCTTTATTTTCTGGCTATTTTTGAATTTTGCATATCAACCCAATTTTCTTGTAATTTTAACAGCAATCCAGTAAATTCATTTAAAAAATTTTCTGGTCTTAAAATTAAGAATAAGTCAACAGATTAAATTGGTTCTGATTAAGATTCCCCTTGTTTAAATTTAAAAAAAAGATTAAATTTTTATCCGTTAAATAAGTAAAAATCAAAGCTCAAATTAGAGTCAAAAAATAAGGAATGTAAATCTTAAAAGAGAAAATATATTTAAATATTTCAAAAAATCACAGAAAAAAATTAAGTATTATTGGCTAAATTGTAACGAAAAGGTTTTAAATTTAAATCGTTTCCAAAATTAATTTCAGCTGAACATGAAAGCAGTCCAATAAATGGACATAAAACATCGTCCTTCTTATCCAATAAAATTTCTTTACCTAAGAGAATTTGCAAAATATGAAGCAAAATTTGAGAAAAAGAAATAAAGTTAATAAGACGATTAGATTGATTCTAGGTCATTGGTAAAGTTAAAGAAAACTATATTTTAATTTTTATATACAATCTGAACCCCTTTTCTGAACCCCTTTTTACCAAAGCGAAAAAATTAGGGAGCTTTGTGAACTTTGAAAAATTCACGATGAACAAGAGTTTTTGCAGGGAAAAAAATATTTTTAAGGGCTAAATTTTAAAAAACAACATACCAATTTTACTCCCATTCTTAGTAAAAAATACATAAGGTTCTGTTACTCGATCCTTCCTAGCTGGATAAACAATTCCATATCCAAAAACGTCTCCATCTTCCCATGAAAATTTTTGATAATCTTGCCAACTAATTGTTGCATCATTACACAAAAATATATTTGTGTTTGTATTAGGTATGTGATTAACTGCAGAGATATTTGCAGTTGTGTTGTAAAGACCAATTCCTGCATAACAACTAAAAATTAAAAAAATTAGAATCCGTAGGGGAAAAAGGTTTTTTTCTCAATTTCAAAAGAGAAGGAAGTCCCCTCTGACTTGCTCTCTAGATTATGATTTAATGTTTTTATTTTAATTTTTCTATAAATTCTTACATATTAGTCTCTTCTTTAATCATTGTAAGTTCAAAATAATATAAAGAATATCCTTTACCATAACAACAACCTTTGGAAAATGAGTTTTGTGCAAATAATCTAATCCATTTATTTTCCTCTTAATTTATTAAAAATTTTTCTTTATTTTAATTTAAATAAAAGGGAAAGATAAATTAATTTTTGGTTCCAGAGTCATTATGAGAAGTCTTCTCTTCCAAAATAAACAAATTTTAGATTAAAATTTAATTTTTGATAATTTAAAAAATCCAAAATTTATTGAAAGAACTTTTTCCCATAAACAATCACTTTTCTTTCTTTTATTTCTAACCTGTATTTTCTCTATTAAAATATCCTCCCATTATTTTCAAAATATTATTAAACAAACTTCTTTTATTATTCGTCAAATAATATTTAATTTTTGTACAACAATTATTAACATCAAAAACACAAACATATCCATTTTTAGAATTGCAAAAACCATTTGATATATTTGAATTTATACATTTATTTTCACAGCAAGTATATTCACAATCAATTCTATTAATTCTATTTTTGATTTTTACAAAACGCTTAAAAAGAATTTTCTTTAATTTTTTACTAGAAAAAATCAAACCATTTTATTGTCATTTTGTTCTTTTAATAATTCAGAATCTGTTTCTAATTTCTAAAAATAAATTTTTTGAGAATTGTAAAAAATTAAAGGAGAAAAAGTAAGTGTATTTTTTATCAAAAATTCCTACAATTTTTCTCACAAAATTTTAAATTATTGGACAAATGCTTCCTTATTCTAATAAACAAATCATTTATGATTCTATTAAAAAAGGCTATTTGGAACCCTTTAAAATTGAGATTTTTTTAGAAAATATCAATTGCCTGCGACGTTTTCGCATTATAAAAATTTTCTTCATAAAAACAAAATTTTCCCTCGTCATTTACCCCCACAAAAATTTATAGAAAATAAAATTTTAAAAAATTACAATGTCAACTTGTCCACCAAAATCTTTGAATTTATCATCAGTTTGTTCATTAACATTTTTAGAATTTTTATTAATTTGTTTTTGAAGTTCATTTACTTTATTGTTTGACTAAAAGATTAAATAAAAAATTAATTATTTTAAAAATAAATACAATATTTAATTCTTCTTTTAATTTTCGATTTATTCTATTCAAATTTGAAATATTTATACCCATTGATTTATTCTTAATTTGTTGTTTATTATATAAATCAGTTATTCGTTCATTTTCTGATTTGTAATGATTGGCATCATTTTGAATTTTCTAAAAATTTATTTATTAAAATAAAAGAGAGAAAAGGATTTTAAAAAGATCCCAGAGAAAGCTAGAAGTCTGTTTTGTGAATAACAATTTCCCGGGGTACACCCCAAAGTAACGCAGGGGGTACACCCCAAAGTAACGCGCTCAATTAGAACTAATTTCCTAGTCAAAGTTGAAAATATAAATCAACCCTGAATAGGAATTTGTTATTTTTGATAAAAGAATTTTCACAAAGAAATTCTTTTTTCCCAAAAAAAATACTCAAAACTAACTTCAATATCTTTTTCAAATTGTTGTCTAATTTGTGTTCTTTCAAGTTCAAGTAAAGATACCAAATTTTTAGAAGCTACCAATTCATTTGTTAATTTTTGATATTCTTCTCTTATTTTAATTAATTCATTGTTATTTATTTCTTCTTTTCTTTTCAACTTTTTATTTTCAATTTTTAAAGTTTCCAACTCTTCTTTAATTTTCTGATCATTCAAAACATTATTTTCTTCTTTTTGTTGTTTAATTCCAGAATTGTTTAATTTATTTTCTTTATTAGAAGATAAAGACATTTTTTGAAAATTGAGGTTTTGTTCTAAAATAAGTTGCTAAAAATAAAAAAAAAGTTTACTTGAAAATTGTTAATTTACCTGATCAGATGTTTTTTGATCTAATAATTTAATTTTTTCTTTCATTTGTTGAATAAAAGGATGATTTTCTAAATCATCGAAAGTAACGAATTCTTTAGAGGAAAAAGTAGAAGATGGATGTTGTAACGAATTTTGCTAAAAAATAAAATTTTTGAACGTTTATAATTTTGAAAAAATGACCAAAGTTGCTTTAGTTAGTTCTAAAAAGTGTTTAAAATAAATTTACACTGAAAAGATTCGAACCTTCACCGTTATTAAATACAAACCAAAAATTACCCCACTACACCAAACTTTTCTTTATAAAAATTTACCTCATTAAATTTTTCCAGTATCTGTTCAAAAGCTTTATTCATTTTGTCTTTTTCAATCTATAAACAAAAAAAAATAAAATTTTATTTTAGAAAATTAAAAACCTCTAATTTTTGAATACGTTCATTAAAACTTTCCTTTTGTGATTCCAAAGAAATACATGAATCACTAATAGACCAATTTGTGTGAACATTTTCGTTTGTTTTAAGTAAAGAATTAATTTCTGAAAAAGTTTTTTGGTGAAAAAAATTTAAGAAAAAAGCCAACCTTCTTTAGAACTGTTTGAAGAAATATAAACATTTTTTGTTTTCTTTTTTTGTTGGCATTGCCAAGTTAAATGTCCAAAATTTCCACATTTTGTACAAGCACCAGAAGTAAATTGAAAATTGTTTGTTTGTTGAATTTCCTTCTTTAAATCTTTAAAATTAAATTTAATTTTAAAAAAAAATAAAGAAAAAATAACCATTTTGTTCTTCTGTTGATATATTTGAGGAACTTTGTAGACTTGAATTCGAATCTATACCTCTTGGCCATCTTCTAACATTTTCAAGTGGAACTAAATTGGAATTAGGCATAATTATTTTTTAGAAATTGTGTAACTAAAAATAAAAAGAAATCAATTTTTATTTTTATTTATTTTCCCCTAAATTTTGTGGACAAATAAGCATTAAATATAGTAGGTTTGAAACAATGACAATTAAAAGAATAAATTGTCATTTCCTTCCAATACAAAAATGATTGAAAGGAATGACCTCAGCAGTGACAAAATAATTATATTTAAAAAACTCAGTCTTACTTAGAAACACGCCATAAATATAAAAAAACGTAAATTTTATAAAAAAATATTCGGAAAGAAAAAAATTAAAAATGATTTAATTCGAAATTTAAAATTTATTTAAATTTATTTTATAGTCAAAATGTTTTTATATTTTTTCTCTAACCTTATTCTCTTTAAATAACACACTCTCTCTCATAAACACGCCATAATTCCTTTTATTTCGCATTGTCTCTAATTTGCTAATAAACTTTTCTCACAACATCCGGTTTTCTTTACACCTCCAAAAAATTAAAAAAAAATTTTTGGTGATTAATTTTTTATTTTTTAGATATTTTTTTGACAATTTTTAACCTTTAAAATTATGGAAAATGATGCTGATGGAATTATTTTGACATTTGTATTTTTTTTAAATTTAATTTTTTTTTTTATTTTATAATTTTAGATTAATCTTTTGACGGCACAATTACAAATTGAGGAAATTTTTTCTTTTGATGAAGTTCGGTATTTGTTGCCAATTCTTATTAAAATGATGTAAAATAATTTTTTAAATATTTTTATTTGGAAAATATTGGGGAAAAATAATTTTATTTAATTTTAGTAATTTATTTTAGTAACCCCTCCTCTCCCTATTATAATCCCCTAAAATAAAAAATATTTAGTTTTTCATACTCAATTTAATTTTTAAAATTTTCTCTATATTTTTTTCATTTTTTAGCCAAACTGGTGAATTAACATTTAAAAGTGATTTTGACTTTAAATTTAAAGATGCTTTTGAATTTATTAAAAAAGATATGGGAGAAAAGTCTGTGGAACTTTTGAAGCCTGAAAATGCTGATAATGGAGATAAACAAGAAATTGCTAATGTTTAATTAGTTTTTAAAATTTTTAATTTTAATATTTTTTAGATAATATTTGCTCTTTTGTTTATTTTATATAAAAATCAAAAGGCAAAATTTGATTATTTATGTGGAAAATTGGACGAAAAGAATTCTGCCGAAATTTTACAATTGGTAATTATTTTGATTTTTTTATTAAATTATTTTGTAAGTTTCCGCAAGTTTTGTCCGAAAATCAATTTATATTTTCTGAGGAGACCCTTATTTTTTTATTAATTTTGAGGTATAATATTATTATAAAGAGAATAGTCTCCCAAATCGAGCCTTTATTTATTTTATCCGCAACTTTTTTGCGGACAAAATTTCTTTATTTTAATTTTTTCTTATTTTATCTCAACTGTAAAATATCTTTTTTTAGTTAAAACGTTTGGATAATTTTGATCGCCTTTCTCCAATACCCTTTACTTCAATTTTAAATAATTCTTCAAATAATTTATTTTCTTCAAATAATTCAAATTTTCAAATATTTTCCTCACAAAATCAAAAAGATAAATTAGAAGAAATATCTAAATATAAAATAAAATCGGCAGAATTGGAAGCTAAATATAATCAAATTGAATCAATTAATTTTAAATTAAATGAACAACTTGGAAATGCTCAAAATGAATTTATTGACCTGGAGAATAAATATGAGAATTTAAAACAGGCTGATAATGAAAAGGTTTGTATCTGGATTTAAAAATCAATTTTATGTTATCTTATGGTGTACTGGTTAGCGATTTGGGTCAGTACATATTGTTTTCTTCCAGGTTCGAATCCTTATGGCTTCTAATTCTTTTCATAGTATTTTTTCTTAAATTAAATTATTTTTTGAATATTTTTAAATCGTTTAAAAATTTTTTTCTTTTAAAGTTATTTTTTCTGATATTTTTTTTCGCCTCAAAATTATTATTTAAACCTTTTTTATCATTTTTCACCTAAATAACTTTCCATTATTTTTTTAGCAAGGATCTCTAGAACTTTTAAATATCCAATTAAGAGAAATTACGGATGAATTAGAGACTTGTCGTTATAATAATTCTCAATTACAAAGAGAGTTAAAATCTTTAAATGAAAGACATTCCCGTGCCTTTCAAAAATCAGCAAATGATTTAAAATCGAAGGAAGATGAAGTTAAATTACTTTATATTAGGTTTCTTTTTTAAATTAATTTAAAAAAATATTTTTTCTACAGATTAGATGCTTTAGTCAAACAAATAACAGAAAAAGATTCTTCTGAAAATAAATTAAAATTTATGGAACAGCAAATTGCTAATCAACAGGGGACAATTGGGGAATTAAGAAGTGGTCTTGAACAGGCTTTGGATAGAGCTAATTTTGTAAAATAAATTTTTATTTAGGAAATTTATCTTTTTTTAATTTTGTCCGCAAACATTTGCGGACATTTTCTAGAAAATGCGGATAAAAATTTTTTAAACAATTTTTTAAAAATATTTAAATTCACTAATAAATTTAAAATATATTAATTTTTAGGCAGAAACAGAATTAATTAAATATAAACGACTTCAAAACAATAATACAAGCATACAAAACAACACAAATTCTAATACTGGTTTTTTAAATTTTTTAATAAATTTATTTTATTTTAGATTCAGATAATTCTATTTCACTTCATGATGATTTAAATTCTTGTAAAATTACAGAAAATCTTAGGTTTTTTTATTTAAACAGTTTTTGTTAAAATTAGTTTTTTTTTTGGGGGGGGGGGGTATTTAAAGTATTTTAGATTTTATTTTCCAGACTACTTTCCTTTTAGCTAAATTAATTTTTTGTCTTTTCTATACTCTCGGGTATTTGAAATGAAATTAACATATTTTTTTTGCAAACTTTTAACAATTAAAAATAAATTTAAAAAAATTAATTTTTAAAGACTGTCTCTACTTTATTAATTACTTCTCTCTCAAATATTTACCCCCCCCCCCCCCTTTTCCATTAGTTATTTCCTCTAAAAATAATTAAAATAATTTTTTAATAATTTTTATTTAAATAATTCTCTTCTAGCAATTTAAACGATTTATTTGACAACCAAACAGCTTCACAAAGTGATGACTTTGCAAAATTAAAAACTCGTTTAGAATTAATTCAATATGAAAAAAGAGAATTGGAAAATGAGTAAAAATAATTTATTTTTAATTAAAAAATTCTTTTTTTAAAGAAATAAAGAATTTTGTTTAAAATTTAAAGAATTTTCTAATTCTCAATCAAAAAATATTTTGGAAAAAGCAAAGGAAATTGAAAGATTTAAACAAGAATGTGAATCTAATCAAAATGAATTGAAAAGAATGCAACAAAAAGAAATTAATTTAATTGAAAAGAATAAATTAATTGAAGGTTCTTTTTATTTTATTTTAAAAAGGAAATAAATAAATTATTTTTTGGGAATGATAAAAGTCTTTGTGGGGGGGGGGGGGGGAGGAGGGGCAGAAAAAATTGTTTTAAAGGAATTTCTGTATTTTATATTTTTGGAGATTTTATTTAAAAATATATTTAAAGGTGGGAGCTCATTTCCCTTTTTAATTTTTTGACCTTAAAAAACATTAAAATGACCTGAAAAATATATTGAAAAGAATAAATTAATCTTTCTTCTATAGACTTTAGTCTACAAAAAATTTAAAAATTTTTTTTATTTTTCTCTCATTATTTACCCCAAAAATCATTCTTTTTTTAATTTTTCTTTTTTCAGAAGAAAATAATCAACTCAAAACTTCAATTAAAAAATTAGAAGATTCAATAGACAAAGCAGCCCAAGTAATTTCCGAATATTCCAATTCTTATTTAGACCAACAACAACAATTTTCTGCTGTCGATTATTTACAATTAAAACATGAAATAAATAAATTACAAACAGAAAATGAAAGATTATTGTCGAAAATGGATCAGTTGAGACATGAAGCTACACAAGAACAAAGATTAATTACACAAAATTGGTATCAATCTGTAAGGGAATTTTTTAATATAAAAATTATTTTTTATTTAAATCCCGGGGATTAAAATAATTTAAAAAAAAATAAAATCCTTAACAAATTTATGAATTAAAAAAATATTTTCTTTAAAAAATATTTTATGTATGTAAATGTGGGAAAGAGAGAAGCAACGATTAGGAACAAAAATACATTAACTGATTTTTTTATTTTTCAATAGGAGTAAAATAATGAAAAAAGGAGGGAGGATTAGTATTTAAAAAATTAACCATTTTTTCTGTCAAAGATTAATAAAAATAATTTTCAAACATTAATTTCTTTCCTCCTTTTTAGCAACTTGATTTACTCAAAGCTAGACATTATTTTGGAGCAAGTTCATCAATTTCAAGTAGTATGCGTTCTTCATTAATTGACAATAATAATTGTAGTAATAGATGTTCAACACCAAATAATCAACAACAACAACAACAATTACCACCTTCAGAGGAAATTAAAAATTCTTCTTTATCTAATACACAAAAAAGTTTTTTTCGTCGAACAGATTTAAATAATACAACAAATTTTAATTCATTTCCCCCACACAGATAATTAAAAATTATAAAAAAATTTTATTTAATGATTCTTTTCAATTAAAATATATTTTTGTGATCTCTTTGAGTGAGAAAAGATCACTGTTTATATTCCCAACCTTTAATAATTATTTGCCTTATGTTTTCTGTTTCTTTTAATTTAAAATTTTAGAGAAAGATTATTTTTTTCTTTTTTTCTTCCCAGAAAAAGCCTTTAAATCAAAGGTATTTTTTCTTAAAAATTCCCCTTTCAATTGTTGTATTTTATTGGATTCCATCTGACTTTTTTTATTTCCTTTAAATTACTTATATTTAAAATGACGTGAGATTTTTTATAAAATTGAAAATCTTAAAATTATCTAATTATTTTCCTAGTGATATTTTTGGCTGTTAAAATTGAATTTTTTGCTTAAAGAGGAGAAATTGATGAGAAAAAAAGTACATGTACAAAATTCAATTTTTTCCTTTTAGCCTTAACATTAATCCGAATAATTTAAAAGATTCTATTTTAAATATTTCATTAATATTTATGTAATCAAAATTATTTAAATTTTTGTTTTTTGTAATAAAAATTTTGCATTTATTGGGGTTATTAATTATTAAATCCTGGTATTGTCTTATTAATTAAAGGCTTTAACAAAAACCAATGGCAATAATTATAATGAAGTGGTGGGACGGTTATTGTTTTTTTAATTTTGAATTCAATCGAAGTTAAAAATTATTTAATGCCTAAATTATTAGAATTTCACAAAATATTTAAATATTTTTACCAAAATAAATTTAATACATCTCACAAATAAAATAAAAATTAACTCTCGAACATTTCTTTAAACAAATTTTTTAGAAGACAATCAGCATCGACCAAAGAATTTTCTAAAAACATATTTTTCAATTAGATTTAAAAAATATTTACCCTCTCAGATATCCTCTTCCCCTCCATTCCTCACTTCTTTCCAGATTTTTTAATTCCACCCCCAATTAATCCTTTCTTATCTTTTGCCTTCTCTGCCATTTCTTTAATTTTCTTTTGTTGTTCAAGTTGTTCTTGTTTAAATTTTATATCGTCTTCAGTAAGCTGTTTCTCATCTGCTTTAGGTTTCTTTAACGGTTTTTGTTTTCCTCCTTGACGGCTAGACATTTTTTTATTTAATTTTTAGCTTCTTAAATTGTTTAAAAAATTAATTAAAATAAAAAAATTAACGAAAAATTTAGAAGGTAAATAACCATCAAAAATATAAACAAAAATTTAAAATGATTAAGTATATATTGCATTAAATTATCACACAATTTTTGTATTTCAGTTTATATATTTAATTAAGAAAATTTGCGGCAGGGGTATCTGTACATGTTTTCTTCCTTATTCTAAAATAATTAATAAGGATGTTTTGCACAAAATATTATTTGGGGTATCTGCCCATCTTCTACGCTTGTTCCATTATTACTTCCAGGTGCATATTGAAAATGCCAATTAATGTCAGAACGTCCAGGTCTTTCCAATTTAATTTTTCTTAATCCTTTCGATCCATAATGTGATTCATGTCCCTTCAATTAAAGAAGATTTTTTGAAAGACATTTTGTGTTTATTAAAATTTTTTAAATTTTTCTAAAAATTTAATTTCAAAAAAACCCTACAGATAAATTAGCAGAGGCAACATAAGTAACATTAGCCAATACTTCTACAGGTTCATCAAACATTACACGAAATGTTGAAGCACTCCCATCAGAAACAAATTGACATTCATTTGTTGCAATTAATTTTCCAATTGTAAAATTTATAATCTTTAAAAATGAGAGACAAATTTTGAATTTACATGTTTCGATTTTTTTTGTTTTTTCGATTTAATTTTATTGGACTACTACTTAAATTCTTTTTTTGTCCACCCAATTTTAAAAAATTACAGCCAAATTCCTCTTCTAATAATTTAATAACAACCTACTTCTATAACAACCGAATATTTACATGAATCCCTATTTGAGCCATACAAACCAAAACCCAAAACAAGTATTGGAGTATCTACCATAAATCTAAAAAAATTAAAAAAAATTTTTTTTGTAAAAACCAAAAAAAATTCTTACTTTACTCTGTCGGGCGTCCCAGTATATCCCCAAGAAGATTCAACTCTTTGAAAACGATTTACAAACATTTCAGGTGTATATAGACCTCTATAACAAAGAGAATATGGAAGGGAAGAAGATTGTTGTCCATTTTCAGAATGATAAAATACAAAAATATTAACCATTTCTTCTGATGTCAGAAGCTTTGTTGGTGCTTAATAAAAGAAAAAATGATTTTAGAAATTATGAAATTAAAATGCTTCGAGCAAGAATTCTGTTATGTGATAAGCTCATCAAGTCATTTCGGAAAGTTTTTGGGTAAGAATTTCCGGTTAACATTTTAAATAAACTATAATTTCTTATTACTAACCAACGTGTTTAGCAAAATCTGAAGGATTCATTAACGGAAATCTAATTAAGTTAAGAGCACTTCCCAACACTTTTCTTTGATTTTCGGGTGTTGGATGTAAATCTTCGACTCGACAAGCTTCAATAGCCCAACGTTTGACCTTTAAAAAATTTCTTTGGGAATTAAAAAAAATCTCCAAAACTCACAGCATTAAATAAAGTCAATTCTTTAACTCTTAAAGTATTCCTTTTTAAAACTAAACAAAGAGTTTCATGATCAATATTTACAAATTCATCAGCTTTTAATGCTTCCTGGGCATCCTCATCAATTATTTCCAAACATTGCTTCGCTAGACGCTTAAAAATTACGTATTAATTATTGTAAACTTGAGTTGAAATATAAAGAGTGGAATTATTTGAGTTTACACTTAAATCGGAATATTGGGAATTTAGTCTCCATTCTTCAATAAACTTTTAAAAAACAAAAAATTAACCTCCTCGTCATAAAAACGTGCTTTTGCCAACAACATAAAAGCATTCTCGCAAGTTAAACAAGTCTCCAAAAAGGAAATACAAGCACTTTCGAGACCAGGAATGGCATACTTTTTGGCTAAAATATTCTTAATGATTATCAGTTCTTTCCAAAAATTAACAAAAAATAAAAACCTGTATATAAAATAGACATAACCGAATCTTTATTAATTGTTGTTTGTGTATTGTCTGTATAAAGATAAGTCAATAAAGCTTCGAATGACTCTTTTTCAACATCAACAAGTTCAATCTCCTTTAAAAATTAAAAAATAATAATTCATTAAAAATATTTCAGAAAAACTTGAAAAGTATTGGAACGACCCAAAGAATTATTTGTAGTCTCATCAAATCGAAACATTGCTTCAAAAACAGAAGAACCAACAGATAAAACAAATTTATGTGCAGGAACTCGCTAAAAATATTTAAAATACATTTCCAAAAATATTTAGTGAAAAAGTATTTCAACTACATTTAGACCTAAAGAGTAATTGTAGTTTAGGACCCGCCCAGCCTACAATAATTTTTAAATTTGAAAAAAATATAAAATTTATTATTTTTTAATTTCAGTATTTTTTGAGGGTTAATTAATATTAAAATATTTAGTAACTTTTAAAAACCTGTAAAGTTCCATCCAAATTTCGAAAGAGAAAGAAGACATCAGCCAAAGTTTCATTAAAAAGCATATAGGAAAGACGATCTCTGACTGTTTGAAAAGATGCTTGCCAACCAATTGTTCCACCAGATGCATTTTGGCATGAAATTGTTTTATCGTTCCCTAAATAATTAAACATTTGTAATTAAATCAAATATAAAAAATACAATTTTTGAAAATTAATTTTATATTTACATTCAAAATTAAAAGTTTATACCTTTATCTACAGCTCCAAATCCAAAAGAATTTTTCGGGCATAATTGCTTTCCATCTTTTTCACTTTTATTTGCTTGTCGATTATTCACACGTTTTGTATTAAGCATATGTTGATTTCCATCATTTAATGTAGCCGAATTTGTACAACATTCAACAGACCCGCGGGAATCTGCTAGAAAATTTAAATTTTATTTTCAATACACGCAGTCCCTGACATTTAAAGAAAACTGTAAAACCGGAAATATTATAAAATAATTTTTAATTTAAAGGTCTAAACAAACATTTTGTAATTCTGTAGAAATCCCTGCTCTTATCACTCTTGTCAAAGGATATGCCACTCCTGAAATTAAGAAAAAAGTCAACACCTTAAAATTTTATAAAATATCCTAAGCATCCCCACAAACCTGCTTTCTAAAGTTAAATCGTCCATTGAACTAGCCCTAATTTCACAATTTATGTCAAATCCTTGTTTTGGCATTTTTTCTTTAGAAAATAAATTAGAGTAAAAATAATTTCAAATATTTTAATATATTAAAAAATATATTTTTTTAATATGTAACAAATAAAAAAAGAAAACAAATTTATTCAAAACAAAAAATCTTTAAAAGCAATTCAATCAAAAAATACCGGTTACATTTCAAAAAAACTAAAGTTAAATTGATATATCTCTATTTTGCGTAAGAGAAAAACGGCGAAAAGGCTTTAAAAATATATGGGAGAGGAAAACAAAAATGAATAAATAAATACATATTCAAGCTCGTCGTCCTTAAAAGGATTTTCAATTCTTTTATATTACAGAAAATTCAACGAAAAACAAAATTACATGTATGAAAATCCCTAGAACCAGAATTTTATAAATTAAAAATCAGAATTTCAAAAAAAATATAGCGGAATGTTTAATGAGCTAAAATGAGAGATAAGTTGGGAAAGGGTGTTACCTGAAAATGAATAAATTAAATGATAATAACAAATTTTTAAGTAAAAGCATATAATTTTTAAGTGATTCTCTTCTTCTCTTCTCTCAACATCAAAAATCTCTTCAAAATTAAAGCCAAAATTCTAATTCATGGATTTTCAAAAGACAATCTCGAATGTATAGACGATACTTTGCCAACACTTGGTGGTTCGTCTATTGTAATTCTATTCATAATGGACGACTCAATACTATGAGGACGAGTACCATACGTTCCAGATGACGAACTTGTTTTAGTATTTTCTCTAAAAAAATTTAGAAAATTGAAGAATCTGACCAAAACATATAAAATCTGAACGTTAATTTGGAGAATATAAATTCAGATTAATAATGGAAAAATGTCCAAGAAATTTTTAAAATAAAAAAATTACCTCAAAGGGCTAACATTGTAACGTTTTGAAATATTTTTATTATTGCTTGACCTTTCATCTTTTCTCATTTGTCGTCCACCTTTTTGTTTATTATCAAGAACATAAGATTTTCCATTTATATTATTATAACTATTATTACCATAATTCCGACCAATTAATCTTTTATTATTAATACTACTACCCCCACGACTTCGTTTACGTGATGGGGGTCGCGCCCGTCTAAGAGGTGGACGTCTTACAGGAGAATCATATTTTTGCTGATTATTTCCAAAGGAATCATTGTTTACAGAATTAGGCAATACAGGATTTAATGGTTGTATTGCATCGTGACTAACTGAAAAAATTAATTTAAATCAAGACTGATTTGAATAATTTTATAGAAAATTTGCTCCCCTAAAGCCCATTCAAAAATGAAAAATAAATCATACTTTGCGGTGGCGGTCCATTCAATACAGGAGGTGGCGGTGCCCATCCTTGAGCACTAAAAATAGGTCCATTATCAACATAACTGAATAATTCTCCTGGCTCCAGATTCATATTAAACTGTTCGTTTTCAATATAAACTTTTCGATCTTGCATATAATTTTGGCCAAAGTAAGATGAGGATGAAGCATTTTGATCCTCTCCTGTCAAAAAAATTTTATTAATAATGTGAAATAAATATTGAGACAATTGAGGCTCGAGAGTGTAATAATTTTGAAATTCTTATTGTTAGAGCAGATAACAGAAAAGAGTGAATAAAGTGGAGGATGAAGGGATATGATAAAAAGAAAATCTAAAAAGCCCCACGAAATTTACTACAGGAAAGAAACTCCCGAATCTAAAATAAGTCTCAAATGTCTTCATCTACATAAACCTCCTCAAACTTTCCCTACTAAATTTCTCCACAGCCTCTCGACGTTCCCGTTTAAAATCTGGCGATATAGCAGATCCAGGTCTATTATAGTCTCTATCAAAATCTCTAGCTCTGCTTCGTCCTCTTACTAAATTTAGGTCATGAATGAAAGTGCATTTGTCTCTAAAATTAAAAAAAATTTCCAAGTTTGTCTAAAAAACCCAACCCTTTCCAACAATTTCCACTGGCATTGAAATAATTGCATTGGACAGTAAATGCTACAAAAATATTTAAATTAAAATAATATAAAGTTTAACCTTTAGAAACTGAACGAGGAATTGATTGATGAGAGCTTTCTGCTTCTTTATCAACTAAAATTAAGTTTAAAAAAGTTTTATTTCAAAATTGCTTGAATGAAATTGGAGAGGTTTCCCAATAATTTTCAAGAAAATGATACAAATTATTAATAGTCTTGGGCCCCTTCCCTTTCATTCCCACTTACATTCATTTCTCCCTTCTCCTCCTCCTCTCTGTTGTTCTCCACCACAATCAATTTGTTGAGACTGTAAGTTCTGATTATTCTGAGAATTAAATCCCTCTTGGTTTAATTGTCCAAAATCATTATTATTTTGATCAAAATTTTGTCCAAAATTATTTTCTTGTTGAACTTGTTTATCCTCTAATTGCAACTTTTCCACTTGTATTTGCTCTTTCAATTCATTCAACATCAAATAAAAATTCCTTTCCTCTTCCTGTAAATTTTCCAAACGTTGACGACATTCTTTTTCACTTTTTTTCAGTTCATCCACAGATTTTTTGTATTTTTGTTTTTCTGTTTTTAAATTTTCAATTTCAGAATTTGTTTTTTCTTTTGTCGAATTTAATTTATTCATTCCATCCAATTCAATATCTAATTCATTTTTATAAACTTCCATTTGATGTTGCATACCTTTTTGTTTCTTTTCCAGCTTTTCCAAATCCTTGTTCAATTTGTCAATTTCTTTAGTCTAAAAATAATTTTTGTTATTATAATAAAATTAAAAGGGATGTCTGATTAACTAATGGCATGATTTTATTCAAGCCTTTTCCCCATATCGGCTACGTGTCTAATTAAATTCTTCAAAGGACAGAACAAAAATTAAAAATATTTCAAAACCTTTTTAGTCATCTTCTCATTTAGAGCCTTAATTTCGACATCCAAATCCTTTTTGCCCCTTTCCAATTGTATAATGTCACTAATTAAACGTTTCTTCTCTTCTCTAGCCAATTCAACATCTTTTGCCTGTTTATCCAAAATTCGTTGTCCATCTTTTGTTGCTTCCAATTTTTCTTTCAAATCTTTTTCAGCTTGTTCTAAATCAATTAAAGCTGTTTTCTTTTGTTTATTCGCCTTAAGTAAATCTCTTTCAGTTTTCATTAGAAGATCCATCTTCTCAGAATATTGCTTATCAACATCGGCAAGATTCTTAATTTTATCCTGAGGAAGTTTTTGGTATTTAGAACTACTTGACCTAAAATTAAAATAAAAGTTAATTGTAGATGTCCCAAAAAGACCTGGGATCTTCAGTATGTTCTACCAGATCAGTAGAATTCAAAAAATTTGCAGTGTACTTTGCCCCGTCAGTTGCTTGTCCATCCGGTGCGACACTAACTTCCAAACCAAAACGCGTTGAGAAGACGGTGACATTACGTAATTTGAGGTTTTTCTGAAGGAATTGGAAATTTGACATAAAAACTAACAAGTGATTTTTTGATATTCTCCAAAATATTAAAGTTTTAAACAACAAACCTTTAAATATTCTGCAGGCATAAACTTTTCCTGAGCAATTTTAACCATTTTTCCAATAGTTTCTCTTTCAGTCATTAAACAAATTTCTTGCCATAATTCCTTCCCAGTTTCATCAGCAAGTATCTTCAAAGTCACAAGAACTTCAAATGATCCAAGTTCAGAACATTCACTTTTGATCGATTTTGTTGGCGTTAACATTTGTTCAGAATAAATATTCAATAAAATATTTAGCTTTTTTTTCTGGGAATAAGTTATATTTTATTTTTAGAAATGTTTAATCATAAGATCGAGGCAATAAAAAATCAAAAAAATTTTACTACAATGAGGATAGTAAAAAAGGATACGAGTAAAACGGGCAAAGGGAATTTGGCTAACTGTGGCGCGGGCCGCAACCACTGCCATATTGGGGGTATACGGGAAAAAGGAATGACTAAAATAGAAACAGACACAACTACCCCCCCCCCCCCCCCCCATTTCCACTGCCGGTTTATGGTAAAGTTCAAAGCGAGTTTCGATGTTCGGAAACGAGAAATGTTAATTCCACGAAAATTAATGATTAACAGTAGTAACATTCTTATTGTTAGTCACATAACCTTCACAACTTTATTACAGATTCTTAAAAATAAAAGAATATTCTACTTTTAAAACAGATGTTTAAAATTAAAGATAAATAAATTAGATAAAAGAATATTGAATACTTTAATAAAACAAAATAAAAATTTACTTTTGACAAAAATATTTTTATACGTTTTTTAAAAAGATGGAAATGCCATAGAAAAATATTGAATAATAAATAAAATAAATGGAATAAATAAATAAATTAGGGAAAGAATTTATCATTTTAACATTATTAAATATAAAATATATGTAAATACCTATTTTTAAAGCAAATTTTCTTCCAAACTTGTATAAAAAATTATTTTCCTAACAAAAATTTGCCAAAATATTTTTTTGGTTGATTAAAGACTAGTGAAGGGGAAATGCATAATTAATAGAATAAAAATATTCCTATAAATTTCATTTAATTTAAGGGCATTCTTGGAAAGCATTTTATATTTTTGTGTAAAATCCAGCTTATTTAGACATTTAAATTTTAGATTAATTCTGAGGGGTATGTGATAAGTGAAAGATTTTGTGAGCATAAATACTTGGATATTAATTTAAACAAAAAATTGAGCAAAAAGATTGAGAACTCCACACAACATAATTAAACAATGTATAGCTATTTGCACATTATTAAGGCGTCCTTGTATTTGTAAACGTTTTAGATGGACGGCACAAGGAAGAATAAACATATAAACTAATCCACAAATTGAACCAACATAACTAATAAATAAATAAAATAATTATTTTAAATTAAAAACCGAATAATTGGGCCAACATGTGGATAGACTACAGCAAAAAATAATGCAATAGTTAAAATACCACCATTAATTAAAAGAACATAAAAAAGACTGAAAAAAAACTTATCAATATAAAATATTGAAGTTTTTAATGGAAAATCTTTAATTAATTTTTTTAATTTTTAATATGTGTAAGTAGTTAGTCACCCCGAGAAGTCGTCAGGGGCAGCGGGGTCCAACAATTTAGCCCCTCCCCCTTCTTAAACGGTCAATTATAGTCAGAATTACTCCGTCGTCAGAGTCCAAGAAGTTTCCAAAGGTTTAAACTGTACTTTGATCAAACCGGTTTAATTTTGAACTTTTTAAAAATAATTACAAAAAAACATTACAAAACCATTCTCCTCAATATTCACAAAATTTCATAAAATGTTTAGAAAGATACTAGGGTTAAGACGTTGTTTTAAACCGGTTTACCCAGTTCAAAACATGATTGCTCATATATATAAGATTACATAAACATGTGAACTACTTTTTAAAATTCACCTTTCCAGCTATCTTCTCTGTTTTCTAATACTCTTTTTATTCACTTTTACTCTTATTGTTGAAAAAATACAAAAATTTATTAAAAATAGAAATAATTACAAAAAAAATCATTCATGCAATAATTTTGCAAAAATTAGTGTTGTAAAGTAATAATTATATAGAATAGGTCATGCAAAAATTATTTTGCAAAATTATTGTTAGATAGGGAAAAATGTATAAAAATTTATAAAATAAAAGTAGTTAAACTATACTATACTATCTCTATATTGTTCAAAGTTTCAAGAAGTTCCCAAAGGGTTCAGTAGGTACTTTTGAACCGGTTCAAAGGAGATACTTTTTAAAATAATTGAAAAAACACTTCGCCAAGCTATTCCCTAGCCTCTCACTTACTCCCTGACAAAATTGGCAACCCAACATTTGACAATTGACATTTTGACATATGTCAGTTGACATATGTCATTTTTGAAATTTTGATCAGTTTGATGAGATAAATCATACCAAAGTGGTTTCAATCTAAAATCGAGCTCAAAACTCGAGTTCTGGACCTTAGAACACGAAATTTTTCCAAGTATAGGTATATGGGTACTCATTCTGACCGGCTCGACGAGCTGAGTCGTAAGATATCATTCTCAGGAGATTTGAATGAAGTGGTATAAAAGACCCCAATTTCATGTAATCTTTAATCAAAATGTTCATATTATTTTTATTATTTCCCCTTTCTTCCTCTTCAAACTTATCTCTAGTAGATGATCCCAGATGGCAGGATATGTGGAAACAGGAACCCTGTAGATGCCCAAAATACTTATTGAATCTTCCTTTTAACATTACAGGACTTATACCAGGAAGGTGTCAGTGTCCAATACACCTATTAAAAGGGTCTAGGGCGAATGCGGAAGACTTTGAATTTTATAGGTTAACACCATTTCGCCACTATGGTATAAAGAGATACAATGACAGTTTACAATTAGACTTATACCTAAATCGAACTATTGCAACATCCCCTCATGTATTAAATTACTCTACCAGTTTTAATTATCTAATATATTCAAAATGGTGGTTTATTCCATACTTGTTTAGTTTCGTATAAATTTTACTTCACGTCAAATATTCCTAAGTTATTATAAACGGAGGCATAAGGCCGAGAAATTAATTTAAAAGATGAAGTTCCCAAAATTATTACCTGAGGTTGAATTTAACATTTCATCGACTGGGATTACAATTTCCAGTGTCCGTTATACAACACCCCGTTTTCTTCCTTATGACCAAGGAGGGAAGTGCCGTAAGTGTAAGAGCACGGAAGTTGAACTAGATTTTATAATAGTAAAGGAAGGAGTGGTAGTCTATTGCACACGATTTGAAGGAAGTAGATTTGTTCCTTTTGATTTATTATATGATTTACCAGGGCATTGCTTCTTCAAAGTAAAGAATAAAGGTCGAGTTTTTAATGTACCATACAATGCTTCTACAGAGATTCCCAAAACTGAACCAATTGAACCACAAATTCTCCCCACAATTCCTGAAGAAGTGACACAGACACCCCAACCCTTGGATACACTTCCTTCAAAAGAGGAGTTGGATGATTTCTTTCAGAGTTTAGATGCAACGGTGACAGGAATACCAACCGATTAAAAAGATATTTAAGTGAAATTTTCTTATATTCATAAATTATTCATAATGAATTCCTTAGCTTTCTCGAATAAAGATTTAAAATTTAAATTACCTTTTGGAATGATTATATCTGGTCCTAGTTCAAGTGGAAAGAGTACATTATTATTAAAACTTATTTCGGAGGCTTCAGATCTAATTGAACCTAAACCAAAGTCCATACTTTATTGCTTTGGTGAGATGAACAATATTGTACCTCTTTTACAAAAATCTGGAGTTGATGTATTTGCAGGAGTTCCACCTGAGGATTTGATTAAAAGATATCCGAAGCCACTATTACTAATTCTTGATGATCTAATTCTTTCTGTTGACGAAAAATATTTATCCGAATTATTCACCAAAAAATCACACCATCAAAATTTTTCTGTAATTTTTGTCACACAAAATTTATTCGATAAGAAGATTAAAGTAGCACGACAAAATTCTCAATATCTTGTGTTGATGAGATCACCAAATTCTATGCTATCTATCAGAAACATAGGTGTACAATTATTTCCCAAACAATTGGATTATTTTCTTGATTCCTATCGACAAGCAACCAAACAACCCTTTGGTTACTTACTCGTCGATATGCATGCTTCTTCTGATCCTGCACTCCGTCTTAGGACAAACATATTTAAGGAAGACGATGAAAAGATAATTTTTATTCCTATAAACGGAAATGGTTAATCAATTAATTCATGAAAACTTAAAATTTTTACATCTATTGTCAAAGACTAAATCTAAAAGAAAAAGGAAAAGACTTTTAAAATTATCAAATAATGAACAACTTTTAGCTTTAGCTGAAATTTGTTTAAATATAGTTAAAGAGAGGTTCAAACTTACAACACGTCAAAAGAAAAGATTATTACCTCATGCCGAATTTGTGCTAAGTTTGAGTAGGGTTAGGAGTGAACGAGGAGCAAGACATGTTATTAATCAAAAAGGTGATGGAGTAGGAGTTTTTGCCGCCCTTTTGACACCTGTGCTCATCGAAATGGCAAGGATGATGACTATAAAAGCCCCTGCTACCTCTTAATATAAAATTAATTATGGCAAATAAATTTATTTTAGTTCCAGAAGAAATTTACAAGGGTTTAACAACCTATGATTCAGGTGAACCAAACTTGGATTTTGTACGTCAAGGTCTTGAGAAAACAAAATTCAAAAGAGAAACACCTAGTGCAAAAAATGTGCACTATAATCAAGAACTTAGACGATATTTGCAATTACGAAACGAACAGCAAAATAGACCTGTTAAGGTAGAGATGGTTGCTAGTCCAAAAGGTGCAATTATGAATACTACCGCTTCTCTTCCATCTTCAAATATAGGGGAAGACGACGATAATATGTGGATGAGTGAAGATATGTCATTTAGTTCATATCCAAAGGAGACGCCATCTTATAATATTATACCACCTATCCTACCTGACATTAAACCAACAATTACATTGAAACCTAAAACTAAAAAACCAACTATTCCCACCTATTACAAACCTTCTAAAAGAAAGCAAGTCGAAGAAATTGGAACGGACAAAAGAAGACATTTAATAGATGAAAGCTATGAAACTAAACCTATTAAAAAAGAAATCGTCGATGATGGGGAGGACTATAGAAAAAGGGAAAAGAAAAGACAATATCTAGAAAGGAAAAAGGCTAACAGGGAGCAAAAGATACCTTACACCCCGCAATACTATAAAGAGGTCTCATTTGTTCCACCACCGCCAAATCCCCAAGGTACAAAAAGGTCGCAATCTATTAATATCGAAGAAGGTAAAAGAAAGAAAATTGATGAGTTGGAGCGGAAAAAAGCAGAATTAAGAAGAAAAAAAGATGATCAACGTCTGGAAAATATTATGAAGAAACAAAAAGAAAGGGAATTAAAAAGAAGGGATATAGGAAAACTAAAAATCCCTCTAGACCAATCAGCAATGCTAAAGGCTCGACAAGAAGATGACGTACGAAGACGTCAAAAGTTAAAACGAAAATGGCAAGGTCCAGACGAAAGCCCCCTAGTTGTTTTGAAAAAGGTCAAGCCTGTTACGAAAAAACAATCAGCAAGAGCAGGTAGAGAATGGATACTAAGGCTTATAAAAGCTAAACGCAAAGAAGCAAACGGTAAAACATTTAAACCTTCATTGTGGTAAAGATGGGTGATTATACTAAACTTTTACAAGATTTATACAATAATCCAGAGTCTCCCGCCGCCTTTTCAGGTGTGGATAGACTATGGAAGGAGGCTAGAAAAGTACTGAAACATATACCTAAAAATGTTGTCCAAGATTATTTAGAAGGACACAGGACTTATACTTTGATGCGTCCGAAACGTATTCATTTTAACAGAGCATTGACTATACCTGCAGGTTTTATGACAGATGTTCAAGTAGATTTGGCAGATTTTCAAGCAATCTCAAGACACAACAAAGGAAATAAATATTTACTTTTGGGAATTGATGTTTTATCTAAAAGAATATTTGGTGTACCTGTAAAATCAAAAACTGCAGAAAATATGGTTACAGCGTTCAATGATTTAATAAAACAAATGCCTATGAAACCACACCGTATATTTTCAGATAAGGGAAAAGAATTTAAAAATTCTCAAATGAACGAATTTTTCCAAAAAGAGGAAATTCACAAGATGGAACCAACTCACTCAGAAGTAAAAGCCTCACTAGCAGAAAGGGCGATTAGAAATATTAAACAACGTATTTATCGCTATTTTGCCCAAAATAAAACTTTAGACTGGATTCAAGTTCTACCTAAAATTTTGGAAGGAATAAATAAAGCAAAAAGTAGAGTACATGGTATGAGGCCTGTAGATGTTAATTTTGACAACGCTCAAGAGGTATGGGAGAAGATATATGGCGATGTGTTTTCAGCTAAAAAGACAAAACCAAAACTTAAGAAAGGAGATTATGTTCGAATGAGTCTGGGAAAAGGTGTATTCGAGAAGGGTTATATTCCAAACTGGGGTGATGAAATACTTCAAGTAGAGAATGTTAAAAAGCATGTTCACCCAATTAGATACAAAGTTCAAGATGATAAGGGTGAAAAGTTCAAAGGATCATTCTATGGAGAGGAATTAGCTCGCGTTCGTAAGGATGCTGATACTGAATATAGGATAGAGAAGGTTATAAAAAAGAAGAAGAGATCAGATGGGACTTACGATCTTTTAGTAAAGTTTATAGGTTATCCTGAAAGAGAATGGATTCATGAGACACAACTAGTATAAAAAGCATATTAATTGTTTATTATTTCATTTTGATAAAAATGTCAAATACTTTCTTTGTTTTTCTTCCTAGTAATGTTTCAGATTATCCAGATAATAGACCAAATAAATTCCGAGTCCATTTACCAAGACCTCTATACTTTTCTGGAGACTGGGTTTGTGGTTTGCACAGCATAAGTTATCCATATTCATGGCCTTCAACAATTGGTACCCTTGACGAACAATGGATTGACATTCATTTTACTAAAAATGATGGGAGGGCTAGTATTATTCGTGTACCAGTTCCTAAAGGTTCACACACGACTGTGGAAGATTTACATCAATTTTTGTTATCTACTTTAGATCACCAAGCAGGAGCTATAGAAGGATCATCCTTGGAAAAACCTGAGACATTAGTAAAACCTCCAAGTGTCCGCAGACCTAAACGTAGTGTATCTCCTGAAGGGGAACTTAAAATGCCAACTCGTTCATCATCGGCCGAAGAAGAGGAACCACCTAATAAAAAACCTTCTGGTGAAAGAGAACTTAAAGCAGCTTCACGTTCTTCTTCTGAAGAAGGAGAACTTAGACGCCCAGCCATTTCATCCTCTGCAGAAAGGGAACTAGAGTCTTCACCTCGTAGTACATCTCCTAAACTTACTAAAATAACTCCAAAACCTACACCACAACCCACTCCACAACCTATACCTCACCCAACTCCACAACCTATACCCCAACCAACACCTCAACCTCCAAAACCTACTCCACTTCAACCCACACCACAACCTCCAAAACCTTCACCACAACCACCAAAACCCACTCCACAACCTCCGAAACCTACAACGCAACCTCCAAAGCCCTCTCCTCAACCTCAAAAACCAACACCACAACCCACGCCACAACCTCCAAAACCCTCTGCTCAACCTCAAAAACCAACTCCACAACCTCCACCACAACCTACTCCACAGCCTCCAAAACCTATACCTCAACCTCCAAAACCTGCACCGCAACCTCCACAACCCCAAAAACCAACTTCACAACCTCCGCCACAAACATCACCACATCCTCCAAAGCCCGCTCCACCTCAACTCACAACACAACCTCCAAAACCTACACCACAACCCACTCCGAAACCTCAACCCACACCACAACTCCCAAAACCTACTCCAAAACCTACACCTCAACCCACACCTCAATCCCCAAAACCCACTCAACCCAAACCTACACCACCTCAACATATACCTCAACCCACACCGCAACCTCCACAACCCACAAAACCTACACCTCAACCTCCAAAACCCACCCCACCTCAACCCACACCACAACCTCCAAAACCCTCACCTCAACCTCCAAAACCCACCCCACCTCAACCCACACCACAACCTCCAAAACCCTCACCACAACCTCCAAAGCAACTCATTCAACTAAAATCAACTCAGCCTTCTTTACCCGTCTCTCTACCTTTGAAACAAGATAGCGAAGAAGAAGAATTGAGAGATGCATCTCCCTCATCATCAGCTGAAAGACAATCCTTACCGAGTTCGCCTACACTTCCACAACTCCCAAAGCCTGAAGCTACATTTAGTGATCCTTTATGGACTGAAGAATATGAACGAGTGCTTACACATGTACTTGCAAATCTTGGACAGAAAGTAACACCTCAGACAAGAATAAATTATCTTCCAAATATGCCTATCCTTGTAAGAAAATATGGTAAAGTAGGCAAGGTAGACTCGACAACACAAAAACAAATTATAGATTCAATAGAATTATTTTA